CTTTAGGTATCCTAACCGACTGAAGCTCTTGCCACATTGAGTGCACTGGTAGGGCCTCTCCCCTGTGTGAGTCCTCTGGTGTTTCTTTAGGTCTCCTAACTGACTGAAGCTCTTCCCACATTGAGTGCACTGGTAGGGCCTCTCCCCTGTGTGAGTCCTCTGGTGTCTCTTTAGGGATCCTAACCAACTGAAGCTCTTCCCACATTGAGTGCACTGGTAGGGCCTCTCCCCTGTGTGAATCCGCTGGTATATTTTACGACTGCTCTTTATATTGAGTGTCTTTTCGGTCTTGGATTCCTGTCGTGCTGTAGGAGTGTCTGAACCTGCTCCTTCCAGGGTATCGAGTGTGTTGGTACTGGGCTGAGCAGTACTGCGGCCAGCAGAAGTTGAGAAATGCTGGGATGCATTTACAGATCCAGCCCTCAGTTGTCTGACATACTCCTCAGGGTGAGATCTTTTGACGTGTCTCTGCAGGAAAATCTCCGCTGTGAAGGAGAAGGGACACTGAGAACATGGGAATCCTTGGGAGGATTCCACCACTCTCCTTGCTGGGGACAAGATAGAGACAAATCAGTCAGTACTGAACTGGGACAGGGTTAATAGAAATAAGAAAAAAAAGCATGTTAAACACAGATACCTTCTGAAGAGCACTTCTTACTCCACAAGTAATCAAAGGTGATGCCCAGATCCTTGGCATAATCTTCCCCATACCATACCAGGAGCTCCTGCCTGGGGGCAATGGGCTTGCAGCAGCGATACAAGATGTTCCCTTTGTGCTGGAAGGCTACCAGGTTCTGCTCCTCATCATCACGGGCACAGTTCACATACCTGACACACAGGCAGAGGCAGACATGACCAGTATACATACTATATGTATGTATGTATGTATGACTGCAACACGGACAGAGACTCAGTAATGGTGTCATCTCACCTCATCCAGTTGGAGTGTGATTCTCTCCTGGCATCAATGTATGTCTCACACTGTTTGCCCTTGTAAACCTGAAACCACAGGCCTGTGAGTAATAGACATCACCCCACTCAAGTTATGCCAGTAAAGAACTTTCAACTGTAAAGTATTAAGAAGACATGAATTTCTCCTGTGGTTATACACAGTATAGCACCCTCTACAATTATTGGTACCTCTTGTAAAGATTTGTAAAAAGGCTTAGAAAAAAATCCACCTTTTGGTGAAGTAGCTTCATGTCACATAGAAAAATTGAGAAAAATCCAACGTTTCAGTAACTGAAATTTATTCCTAGAAAAAAATTTTTTTATAAAGAAAGAATTATCTTTAACAAAATAACTGTAAACGCTGTATACACCTTCCTCACTGTTGCATGCTTAGTCTCACCACCCAGGAGTAGCCGCTGTCAATGGCCTGCTCTCTGTCCGTGACTTCTCCTTCATAGGGACCGTAATGCACTCCTCTGGGTACAGTCTGCCCCTGGTTAAACACCCCTTGGCCTGCCCCAGGGATGCTGGATGACCGAACCTCTAAACCAGGGGGTAGGGTAAGGAGGGCCCTGCCGGGGACCCCCATGACTGCAGAAGAGTCAGAGATGAAGACAGGAGGACCATGGACCTCACACTGCTCAGTAAAGAAGGACAGACAATCCTCACAATCTGATGAAGAAAGAACAGGAACATGGATTACACACAGAAACAGAGTAAATACAACACCATACCCTAAAACAAGAAAACAAACAAGAAAAAGGGGACACCACACAGCTTTGTTAGGGCTGATTCATGCTTACTGAGGACATGGCCGTTATGCTGTGAGTAATTTTCCAGAGGTGGAAAGTTCAGGTCTACAAAGTACAAATCCAGACCAAGATTTTGCTTCAACAAGTGTCACATTCACAAAGTTCTCAACTCATTTGAAAATTTTGGTCAGCAGAGGAAGTCTGGAAATACCAGCATTTATATGATTCCTCACTACGGGGTTATAATGACTCACAGATGGCCGTAAGCTAAAACAAAACATGTTCAAAACTGCAATGTCATATACCTGTTTATGTCATTGCATGCTGTGAGTACCCATTAGTCTGTCATTTTTAATGGAACTTCCGTACCACACTTCATGAACCCACAGGTTTGTTCTACAGTGCTACCCCAGGCCTGGTGTTAAAGTACATGGTTGCGGGGCACGTTGGCGCCATCTGGATAGTCCAACGTGTCTGCAGTAAGTACAAACCACTCTTTGTGAAGGGGTATTTCCTTCAGCCATAAACCACTCACAGAGGTAATCATCATCTCTGAGCTCCTCTCCCTCTGTGTAGAGTATCTTCGGTGTGTTGCGCAGATTACAACCACGTCTGTAGCCAGTCATGTTCACAGTATGCTGCTCACAATGCAGGCTCTCTGACATACCTGAAGTGCACAGAGTAACACAACACCGGTGGTTTGACTGGTGGACATAGAAGTACAAACTTCATAACCCCCAAATGTACCAAAACAATTGCTGTTTTGGCTGTTCATGTCAGTACTCGGAACTGCCTGGGTTTGGAGGTTTCACACTCAGCTTGCCTCTCCTACTCTCACTATTTTTCAACAGAAGAGAACCAGTCAGCTTCACATTCACATCCTGAAATACTGCACCCTTCATCTTCCATTACAAAAACCAAATGACAAGGCAGAATGACTGTTGATTTAATCAGATTATACAGGACGTTGTTTTTGCAGAAAGCCTGCATTTACCACTGATAATATCCATTAAAATAATGATCCATACTTTATAAATGAATGCAATTAATGTTAGAAATATATAAGTTGAATACTGTTATAAAATATAATACTGTTGCTTTATGCCAGGGTTGGTATTTTCCTACCATAAAAAAAATACTCTTTGATTTTTTCCATACTTTGGAATGTCATTTATTTATTTTATTTATTTGGGTGGGGCATCCCTTTAAACTTAAGTAGAACCCTGCCAAAACAATCAGTATCTCTGTAAGTTTTCTAAATAGGTTATTGGTATCAAACAGCAATTTCCTTATCGGTGTATCACTAATTTTGGTTGATGATATGGTCGTTTTACTGCTGGAAAATGTCAGCTTACAACAAAATCAAAATGACACCGTGTGTCTGTTAAGCAGTGTTACAATGCACAGCCAGAAACAGCCTGCATTGAGCAAACAGTAATGATGGAAAGTTCGGCTCAATTAACTGATTCGATTCTTTCGAACTGTCCGTTGTAATGAATCGATTCTAAAACCGATTCTATGATTCACTTTTTTTTTCGTTTTTTTTTGCGCCTGACCATATGACTCAAGGAATCATGGGATCGGATAATAAATCTGTCTCAAGGTTACATTATTTGACTGAAAGATAGCGCTGGTGTTCAACAAAAATGTTCAGCTTGACTATTCACAATAAAAAAAACAATATATAAAAAGCAGAAAGGGTGTCGATGCTGAATAAACACGCGTGTATATATAGTTCTTATTTTCTTTACTTAAGCCAAATTCATGTGCATGAGTATCACAGTTAACAACAACTGCAATATTACCAATACAATCACACAGACACATGCAATTAATTAATGAGCATGAGTAAACTTGCATACGTTGTTGTGTAAACGTCAAAGTTAATAAATATCTGTTTGTTCTTTGATGAAACACATATAGTTTTATTATACAGAACTGCAATAATTTACTGTTGTGATAAATGATGAAGAGCTGCGTTTATTTTATTCCTTTTAACAGCGTAACTGCATTTCCGCAGTCAACGCCGCGAGGGCTCTTGGGATCGGTTCGCGAACCGTTCGTTTGAGTCACCGACCGAGTGTCCGAAAACCCGTAACTTTCGATTCGTTCATCGAACAGGCTCTCGGGGTTTTTGGAGTCAGCGAGTTACAGACCAGGTACTCGGCTGTTCGGGTGTTCTCGGCACCAGACGGAAATCTACGAACGCAAAAGTGACGAATGTAAGTGACGAACATAAGAATAAACTTAAAAGTGATAAGACAAGCGCAGACGGAACATGAAAAATAAATCCAAAATCGCGGGGGATGCTTTTGGATGTTGAATAGCCAAAGATCAGTTTTAAAAACATTTAAAAATAATTTTGAAAATCGATTCGTTCAGACTTACAAATCGGTTCAAACCGTTCACTAAAAAAACCGAGTTAAAAAGAACGATTCGTCCGCGAATCGGCCATCACTAGCAAACAGACCCTCCTTCCCTAGCCTGTGACATGCGACTCTGATCCCACAGCAGGGGTTCTGCTCTGACTGGACCATCCAAATGGAGGCTGGAAACTCCTGGATGCTGAAGACACAAAGCAGCCTTTCTGGCAAACTGCACCACCTTAGGGCATTTCCACAACGCTCTTATTTATTGTTCGGGTCACCCCTATGCTCTAATGATGTTGATGAGTGCATGAGGCTTTGTGTGAAAGTATGACCTGTCATGGTGGGAGCCCTGTGATTGGCTGTTTCACCTCGTCTTTCTGTGTTGCTCGGAAGCCTTCTCAGAAGGTGGGGAGTCCACTCCTCCTCTGAATCACTGCGTTTATCATTGCCTGGCCCCTCTGCCGTTATCCTCCTGGATCGGCCTCCTCTCATGAATGCTGGTGTAGTGGAGTTTAGCCCTAGAGAAAACGGGGACAGTTGAGGATTGTCACGCTCTTGTTATTTGTGTGACCCCAACACCGATGCACAAAATCTACCAATGGCCAACATAGCCTGGTGGTTCCTCTTCATGTTCCTGTAGCGCAATTTTTCCCATCTCTGAAGCCGCACCCATTCAGCCTTGGAGAAATGGGCCTGGATTTCTGTGTAATTCTCCTGTGTGGGAACAGAAGCCTCCATGATGCTACTTCATGCTTTACAGGACAGGCACACTGTTACTGAAAAGCCACAGCACTCGCATGGTACGCAATGTTACATTCAAAACCAAGGTTCCAATGCATGTATTAAGTACGAAGGGGTGTTTTCACTGAAGGCTGATTTCACGGCTTGTAGTATTCCCAGAAAATCATGGGATCCATGGCAAACAAGGCCTCGCTTCCTACACCTGGTTGATTTGTTTTGATTTTTGAACTGTCAATTCAAAGGAGTGATCCCTGTGCTTTTTGTTGGTTGGTCTGAAGATTTTGAGTGTCGGAGTCAAAGAAGTCGCTAGTGAGTGCGGAAATTTTGTTTTTGGTTGGAAAGGTTATTAAGATAGGATAAACTTTATTCATCCAAGGGGGAAATTCTTAAAGGTGAACAGTATTTTGTTTTTGGTTGGAAAGGTTATTAAGATAGGATAAACTTTATTCATCCAAGGGGGAAATTCTTAAAGGTGAACAGTATTTTGTTTTTGGTTGGAAAGGTTATTAAGATAGGATAAACTTTATTCATCCAAGGGGGAAATTCTTAAAGGTGAACAGTATTTTGTTTTTGGTTGGAAAGGTTATTAAGATAGGATAAACTTTATTCATCCAAGGGGGAAATTCTTAAAGGTGAACAGTATTTTGTTTTTGGTTGGAAAGGTTATTAAGATAGGATAAACTTCATTCATCCAAGGGGGAAATTCTTAAAGGTGAACAGTATTTTGTTCTTCTTTCATGTTATCCTTCCTTTTTATCTAATGCATGCAGTATTTTGATACCCAAATGGGAAAACTCTATGAGCAAAGATTTTGATTGAGATCTATAATATCCCTGTTTGCAAACTATACAAGAGTTTAGGTTATGATGTTGCACAGAATCCCAGAACACCTAAAAGCAAAACATTCAGGTAAAAAAAATAGCCAGACAGGGGTACACATGAGATAAAACTATCACAAGTTTCAGTATACATTCAATTGAAGGGTTATATTTTCCATGTTTAGTGTACTTTCAGTGGTTGTCAAGCTGCTGTTTTCATAGCCATTTGCCAAATAGGTTTTAGATTTTAGACCAGTAATGCAGTCAGGATTAAACTTTTTCCATCTGCCTGCTGAATGCATGTGATTATATGTACCTGTGGTATATCCCATTAGTCATGAAGGTGTGCATTAAAATTATTGTTTGAAATCCCTACTTATAATACAATGCTCTCGCTTTTCTTTTTGCCATCTGTGCATCTAGCCCTTTTCAAGGTATTGAAATTCAGGCTGCACATGCTTGCAACCAGTGTTTTTATTGGAAATTAATTATCTGTACATCACAAGTATAAGTTAAACCATATTAAAGTATGGATCTTTTTCATGAACTTGAATTTTGGAAAAAATAAATCAGTGAAATACAGGGTTTGTTTTTTGTGTAGTGTAATTGACATGGATTTTTAGGTATATTAAAATTGTCATTCGTTGTCTGATTTGATATTTTTAACCATATTCCCCTAATAGGTAAAATTGCTCAATTACTTGATAGTTCTCCTATTTTTATCTCATCTTGGTAACTCTTGCCTTGGATTTGATGAAATACTTTTTTTTATTACAGGAATGAATGATAATAAAACAAAACTGATTACTTCAGAGGCAAAATCGACAGTTTAAACAATGAAGTTGTATAATTTGTAGTATAATTTTAAATACTGGAAATGTTACAATAATGAGTTTGTCAGAATGACCTATATACTGTAGTACGGTGGCCCTGAAGGGCAAAACACAACGACATTTCAAAAAACACAACGACATTTCCACTTCAGGGCCACCGTACTGTAGTGATAATTCCACATTAATTTTGGGATTCAACGTATAAATATTTTTGATATTAGATGTAATCACAGAAAACTGTTGAATCGGTGTTTATTGATTATGCCTTTAGTAATACCTTGTGTATTCTGTTTTTGCAACATTCTCCAAGTCCATGGAGCACAAGATGTTTCTGTGAAGTGATGGTTCAAATGTTATGAAAGATCAAAACATTTCAGTTAATTGACTTGATCTTTTAGAAAGCCGGTTCAAAGTTGTAAGGGGTAGGCACCAGAATGCTGACATTAAAATTTGCCAGTGGGGTGGTTACAAGCCTAGCCTTTGTCACTTCTGGTTTTACAAACTACTTAAAAGGCTACTGAGCTTGGCTAAACAATCCAGTTCTTTTGTGGTTTGACTGACTTGTTTCTTTGATTGAAAGACTCATCCAGCCGTTTCAGAATAACATTAATGACGCATGCATGATAATAGCAGACTTACCAATCAGCACATAGCAAGAACTCCGTGCCTAAGTGACAGGTCCTTTTAATTGAAAAGGTAGTTTATAAATCCTATCCTAACTCAAAGTGTCCTCCCTAACATGAATTATCTGGTTACCCGAACTATAATATACATTTAAAATACTAGGTAGAAAAATCTATAGTTCAGTGTTCAAGTATTCTCACAATGAAACGTTCTTAAAAAAACTAAGTTTCAGTATGGATTCGCACATTCTTAACGCACATAATTAACCTTTCAGCAAATCATTCGGCTGTAAGAACTCGGTGGTTGTTAAAGCCTCATTTCACCCTCACCAGTAATAATACTTTTATATACAGGAATCCCTCTATGTTTTTTGAGTTTGTTTTAACTTCGTTCAGAGCGAGAGCCTACCTGAAAACGACTGCGTTTCACCCCTTGTTAACTGATCGATTACAGCCTCCACATTCTTTTTTAATAACATGCAATTGAAAATGGTTAATTATTTTTTTCCATGTCTATGATATGTGACCTAGACAATGAAACTACAGTGAAAGGTAATAGTTATGTAATTTTGCTGGTAAGATGTCAGTATGATTATCAACAGGTTTTTAACTAGTATTTATGCAGATTACCGCACGCGCCACTCCGACTACCTAGATGAGGCACAGCTGCCGCGAGGTATGAGCCGCGCGCCCTGGCAGTGTGGCCGCTCTAACCTGTTAACATGGGCGCCGAAATAAATACTTTCCGCGGCCGCGACGCACACGCCACGTGTCCAGTGTGTTCAGGGCTTGACACCTGCTTCTCACGTGGGTAATGTGGCTTTTTTTAACCTGTTAACATGGTCGCATGTGCCTGTTTTTCTAGCTTCCTTACCTCCTCAGAGGAACTCATGCCCAAAGCCCTTTCCTTCCTGTACTCGCTACCAAGCCCCAGTTCCTACCTGTAATATGTAATGAAATATGTTAAATATACTATAAAGTCTTCCATAACTAAAGGACAGCCCGCAGAATCTAATACTTGCTATCTAAATTGGCAGTCTTAGCAATTAAACCCCAAAAACGTCTTACTATCTTAATGCCTGTAATTGGAAAATTCTTTCCCCGCACAGTATTTTACTGCGTCGGCCGTGATTAAACCCAGGACTGCAACGTTGGGTAAAAACCGCCGCAGCCTGAGGGAATAATGAAGGCTCTTCCCGCCAATTCGCTCCCCTCATGCGCCGTGTCCTGATTGGAGGGCAGCGAATGAGCCCGCCCGCGAGACGTGATGGCCCTGCAGGCCGCTCTGAGTTACAAATGAAATAACTAAACATATGGAAACATGCGGAAGTTATTTTAAACAAAATATTGAAACATATTACTGGTGTTGTGGTAATCACTTAATGACTAACAATCATGTAGTTTTATGCAAATTCGACGGATGTCCTTTGGACATAATATATTTCATTCAGGGTATTGAGTTAATTAACGCAGATCGCACGAGGGTGAAGTTGGCTAATAGGGGATGCTGTTTCGACAGAATCCGGTAGAGGGCACCGTGTATGCAAAATCCAAGGCTCCAAGAATATTTTCACCTTTTCATTTTGCTAAGAAAATGGTAATAATTCTATTTTTTTAAATAAAATTAATTACATTTGGAATCTGAGTTGTATGCTGTTTGATTCATTATTATTATTATTATTAGATATTTCACTGTACATTTTTCAGTTTGATGCCCTCTGAAACTGCTACTCCTTTATTAAGATTTAGTATATAAACACTGTATTTTCTATGCAGATTAAAAGCTTCGTATTCATAGTTTCCCCACAGAGGAAGTGTGCTTGCGGTAGCACATGCTGTGCAGATTATGATAAAGACATTTTAAAAATACAAAATGATGCACCGGTGGGACGCATGTCCCAGCATGCTCCGCACGCAATTATAAATAGCCCTTGTCGTATTGTTGTTGTTGTTTGCACTGTCACCTCATACGTCTGAGATGTGGGTTTGAGTCTCAGCCAGGGTTCCATGTGTGTTGAGTTTGCTTGTTCTCCCCATGTCATTGTGGGTTTTCCTCCAGATACTCTGGCTTCCCTCCTCAGTCCAAAAAACTGCAGAGGCTAATTGGTGTTACGAAATTGGCTGTAGGTGTGAGTGTGTTCTGTGATGGGTTGGTGCCCCATCCTGGGTTATTCCTTGCATTGTGCCCATATCTTCTTGGATAGGTTCTGGACTCCTCATGACCCTGAATAGGACAAGCAGTTTCAGAAAATGAATGGATTAAATGGCTAGCATACCCACAGTGTCACATCGGTCAAGCTCCATGTGTATTGAAAGGACAGGGACACTGAGATGTGTGGTTATTTACAAGACTGAACAAAATTGCAAAGGCAGTCAGGGTAAACCTCTAAACATACATAAATTGCAAGCAAATGTACTATATTAAATAAATTTGAAAGCGTACATAGACTATACATTACCACTGTATTACTCCCATTTTTGAATAAAAAATTAATTTAGAGATTTAAGGCAGCCCATTCAAGGGAGTACTTAAAAAAAGGTCTAGGATAGCCAAGAATTTTCAAGAGTTGGATTTACACAGCCCCAGACAACCAATCATAAGGCAGGATTGCTGAATTAGATTTTAACGCAATGCCTGGTAATAAAAACAAAGAACAAAGTTAGAACGTGAACAAACTTAAAACAACTTTCATAATTCAGACTGCAACAAGCCTGGCTTCAGTGCTGCATGCAGCGACTACACAATGCAGTAATTACCCTGGCCACAGGAAGTCTTAAATTGTTACTGTATTTATTTGTTAGGTATTTATCAAGTTTGCTAGTTCTGACATGTCCAAGATGTCATCTGCAGAATGCGGGCAAGCTCTGCTTCAGGATTGAGTGGCACGTCCTACAAAGTGTACAAGAACTGACCCAAACTCCTGCTAAGACTATTGAAGATCTTGTTGATTATCTGGACAAGGGGTAGGATCCATGAACAGTGGAGAGTGGTGTCACGTTATTACCATACTGGGTAAGTATCGGGTACGTATGAATTAAAAGTAATAGACAGAGAGCAGAGTCACGTTCACATGTTTTACTCTAGAACCAAACAGGAAGCCAGCCCCCTGTGTCCCATCCAAATGGGTCCCAGCTGCAACATCAATATAACTCAACTACTGTATATTCTTTACAGAACAAGTGGCTGAGGGGATGTGGGTCCCTAAGGAAGAGAAGCCCAGCAAGATAGACCAGTTCCATATGCCTGCCTAGTTTTACCGAGGGGGCAGCAAGGTGGCGCAGCGGTTACCACTGTTGCCTCTGAGACCAGGGTTTGAGTCTCCACCTGGTACTCCAGTCTCCTCCCCCCCACACACAGTCCAAAAACACGCCGAGGTTAATTCAAGTTACCAAATTGCTCATAGTTGTGCATGTGTGAGTGAATGTTGTGTGAGTGTGTGCCCTGCAATGGGTTAGTGCCCTGTCCAGGGGTGTTCCCTGCCTTGCCCATGAAAATTTCTGGATAGGTTCCGTGACACACCCATGACCACAAATAGGACAAGTACAGTAAGGCTACAAGCCTCATAGTTCTATACATGAATTGGCTCATCGCTTGGAAGTAGAAGCAGAACTTTGTCTTTTGTTTTCTTACCGGATCTGTATTCATTTGCCATTTTCAAGACTTGTGGCCAATTCACACTTCACTTTTCTGAGTGCACTTTCTCGTGCACAAGATGAGGTGACATACATTTTGTAATCAGGGGTTTGTGCCAGATGGCTGCAGACAGTGTGCATGTAGTCTAGTTGTGTATGTTCTGCAGAAATCATGTGTGTCGACTGCGAAAGCTGACTAGGTATATCCACGAGGTGGTAGCGCTGATTTTCACAGAGCAGTGGTCAACTAAGAATGGGTAGAGGAAGAACAGTTGTTGTTCTAGTAGTTATGGTAAGCGGCTGTATGAGGAGGCGCAGGACGTCCCACACCCCTAATTTTTCATACTGTCCAGGCATTTTATTGCACTCTTAGTGAGGTATTACTGACATTCGGGTGTAATCAAATGATCTGGGGCTGAAAACCTTTCCATAAAAATTTTAAAGTAATAATGTTGGTGAGTTAAAACACACACACACACACACATTTGATTGTTCAGAGTGATCATGATTTTTCCAGGATGACGAGAAGGTAAGACTAAGCAACACTCCGCGTGCCAGATGTTGTCATGACAACAGCCTTAATCGCTGGCTTTCCCGTCTTGTGTTGTATGACCCGTGGTACTGTAGGTATGCAGTCTTTACCCCGCACGTCATTTTGTGTTTCACTGAGTCACTCTATTACCACTTCAAATTTTCCCCCATTTATTTCACCTCATCATTTCATTAAATGATGATTTAATTTCCACTTCACCGCCACCACTAAAACCAATAATACAGCTGAACATGTAGGAGCATTAGACCTGTTCAGCTTTAGCCTGTACTAGTGTAACCTTTGGGTACACACCATTTTACACCCCCACAGTGCATCCAGATTACATTTCTTCTTTCATCTGACCTAACACTTGGTCTCAATTTCAAAAAGCATAAACCATCCAGATTGCAATACTGACCAGGATAAGACAGATTAAAAGATTTTATCCATCCATCCACATTGACCCCTATCTCCTTTTTTCCAGAAAAAAATCCATTATATAGTCTATGAGATGTCTTAAATTTAATTTTTATAAAAATATTTCAGGAGTTAGAAAAGGTAGCTTTCATTTATTTTTTTGCACCTGCTCTGTGTACATATTTATGGATTCTTAAATGTATCTGGATATCTAAACAAATCAGTGAAAGAATGTCATTGTCCATGTGGCAAACATGTATAATTTGGTGTGCTGGTCAGATGTAAAAACTGAATATAATAACTCTCTGGTGATACGAGTAAACCAGAGGAGACCATTAACAGCACAAGACCTGAAGGCAGAGCTGATTGTGATAGAAGGACCACAATTTGGCCACAGATTTTTGGGCGTTTATCAGCAACAAAACGTATTTAAAACCTTAGTATGGACAGGAAGGGTTTTGGCTGGGAAGGAACTGGAATGGAACTGGAATGGAACTGGAATGGACACGGAGGACCACATCTGGAAGGTGATGAAACGATGACACTTTCAGAGTGGCAGCAGCAGGATAAGGACAGAGCAGGGAAACACCATGCAGCAAAGGGCTGTCCTTCCCAAATGGGATTATTACTGCGATCAGAATGGGGCCCAGCCGCCCACAGCAGGGTGCCACAGGAGCAATGGTGCCATTGTCAGGACTTCCACATGCGCTGAAGGCCAAGAAACAAGCTACAACGCTGTTTACAGCAGTAATTAGGATGGCAAACCTGATGTAAAACCACCGGCTTTAAAGGGATCCTACAGGACAGCTGAAAGGCCGCTGTTAGAGTCGTTTTGAGGGTGGGGCGGCTGTCTGTAGGAGGATAGAGGAAAAACCACCCCCCACAGTACTATCTGTCAGCGAGTGCCCCCGCCTCACAGCAGGAGAGTGAGGAACGTGCCGCAGAGGGTCACCAGGAGAGAGAGAGGCGGCCCAAAGAGGCAGGAGCATAGGGCCGTGGCCGAGTCAGATGTGCAGGAGCACACCTCGTAGCTACTCTCGGCGTGGTCGGCATGGTTACGGGCCCGCGGGTGTGTCCTCTCTGTTACGTTAGGCTCCGTGGCGGGCGAGTCTGACTGCATGTCTGTACAGAGTAGCCAGTCCCTCCCCACGGAGCGTGGGAAACCCGGCTCCACCTCCATGGCGCTGTCCTGAAGCTGCCAGTACTCTGTACCCTTGAAGAAGTAGGAGGAACCTGTGGGACAAGGAGAATGGGCGGTCAGAGGTGCCTGTCTCTGCATCTCCATCAGGCTAACAGTCAAGCTATCCTTCCCATGCCGCTTGGCCAGGCTGAGGAGGTCAAAGCCTGTCCCCATGCTTTCTCACTGAAGATGTCCGTCCTGCATTTCAACTAGAAATGTATCTGATTACAGTCAAATCAAGCTTTTGTTGTGTAAATCTCCTTCTGCATTCTACTATGTTTCAGTGGGCGTATGAATCTGGTGTGTGTGTGGATGTGCTGAACAGCACGGCAGATGGGCTGGTACCGTCTGACCAGCGCATGGCGTCGTCCAGTTTAGGGGGTACGCCCTTCCACAGAGCCATGTCTTTGGGGTACCCCGTGTCCATCTGCCGCAGGTGGTCGTCAAAGCGCCAGTACTGGTTGTCCTTGAAGAAGTAGGTCTTGTCGTTGTGGAGCCACACGAAGGCAGCATCCACGCCCTCCATGGGCAGGCCGAAGTCGCTGATCGGCCGGGGGTAGCCCTCTTCTGCGTGGTTATCTTTGAAAACCCAGTACTTGACTCCTGCAGAAGGAAGATCAGTGAACAAACACAGAGCCTGCAGTAAAAGCAGAGCAGCGAGTCACATGGTACAGTATGTGAATGAGCGCTGTTTCTTTAATTTCCTCTGTCTGACACTGACGTTGACATAGTTACGTGCCCCGGAATCTGCGTATGCAGGTAGTTGTCCTTCATGTGTCCGACGGCAGAGCGGTTTCTGTGTTGTAGCTCAGACACGTTTTTCAATAAGCTAGCAGCGCTCCGTGTGAGAGTGAGCAATGTTTAATTCTTCAGAGTTGCAGTTTGCACCCTTTGGCAAGTGGAGCGAGGTATGTGATGTGATTAATGTAAAAAAAAAAAAAAAAATTAATGTAATATTAAATGTCGTGTATTCATTTATAGTTTAAATATGAAGCAACAAAGCCCCTTTTTTGTACACGAGTTTGCTACTTGAATGATTGCATGCAATCTTTATTGTTATATATTGTTTGTATTGTGTATTAAGCAGTTGAACCCGATGTTGCAACTCTGTTTACAACCATTCCTTTTAGTGAAACTTTAAGCAAATATATGTGCATATTTATTTTATTTATTTATTCATTTTTTGTAGTTTTCACGGTGCTCATGATACGGTGGTCAGGGTATTCCTGAATGCTTCCTATGAAGACACAATAAAATTCTGCACCTGATAGAGACTCTCTTCTTTTATTATCGATTCCAAGGGATGCTACACAGTATCCCAGCGGCTATCAGTGTTAATGTGTGTTACATTAAGAGAAACAGAGGAGGCGCTGTTCTCAAATACTGCCCTGCTTATCCTGACTGCTTTACACGCCTCTCAATACACTCATGTCCAGCTTGGCCTAATCATCTTTCAGCTCTTTGAGTGTTTTTTCTGCTACACTGTGGTTCATGCCAGTATTAATCATACCCTCATACTACTTTCTATCTTCAGATGGGTTAAAAAGGTCCCTTTACATAGTGAATTTTGGAAAAAAGTGGATGCAGTGAGGAAACCAGAGGGGAAGACAGTGAACCATTAAGTATCATTCATTAAAACACAAAAAAATGTCAGCACTGAATGGACATCCAGAATTACAATTTCACTTAATTAAACGCCTTTATAGTACAATCCCGTTATAATGGACTTGAAAACAGTCTGTTATATTCAAAGTCTGTTATAGCCAGAGTTGCTGTATGCCCAGAACACAACTACAGGACACCATTTACTCATGCCACACCCCAGCAGACACACTTGTGGTATAGATTATTATATTGTACATGTAGTAATCAAACTTTTCTTGACTGTTGGAAGTATATATGTCCTGTAAGTGGTTATACATGTATGGTACAGTAGTAACCTTGACCTCATTGCTTACTGCATCCCTCCAGCTGCGAGCTTCGTCTGCCGAAGCACAGCGTGCCTGGTGATGGACAGCCGCACAGACCAATCAGTGTTGCCTGCTGTTACGCCATGCCTATTTTTAGAGCGTGACTATTACTAATCCCGACTCCATATCTGCGCTGGATATCACCAGCACGCCACACGCCTTGTAGGCGAATGGTCTCCTCTCGTTTGTATAGTTCTTATGTTCTTATGTCCGTTATAGCCGAACAGAACTACAGCTAAAAGCGGCCCTGGGGACCAAATTGTTTGTCTGTTATTAGCAAAATTCCGTTATATGCGAGTCCGCTATATCCGATGCTTTTTCTGCATGTTCGTAAAGGCGCACGGCCGGGACCAGCGGACCTCACCCATTACAGACGATATTCTGTTATAAGCGAGTCCACTATAACGGGATTTTACTGTATCAATCTCACAGCGTCATTTTATTGTAATAAAGCCAAACCCCACCAAACCCCCTGTTGTCCAGTTAAATCTCACCGCTCACAAGCCCTAACAACTTAATCCACCTCAATAACAAACCCCAGCAACTTAATTGTAAGGTAAGGCAGGGATTTCAGTTCAGTCTTGCAGTTTCTGCAGAAAACAGAACTGCAACCACAAGGGGTCAGCAGTGGAACAAAGATGATCTGGCACCTTTGAAGAAGACAATCTTGTGGTCCCCCGGCCTTTCATATATGGCATCCACGCCGTCCAGGTTAGATGGCAGGCCCCTCCAAAAGCGGCTGATCTCAGCAGGGCGGAGCGACACCAGGTGCTTCTCCCGGGTCAAGCGCCAGAAGTACTTTCCTGGGGAATTGAGAGCCTGTGGTTGTTCTGCACAGATTCTCCTGCGTTATCCTGCATGTCCGTTCAGTGTCATCACACAAAGTGATTAGACGACGAACTGGAGTTTGGCACATAATCCGAAAGTACAAAAGCGTGCTAAAATGTTAAAAACAACTATACAGTATATACATGTGTAATAAATAAATTGTTTGAAGAAGTACATATATACAAGTTGTATACATTGTGTGGCATAAATAATGTGTATGTAGAGCATCTGTGATTGTAGTAAAAGAATGAGTTTCTGTACTTTGTATCAATATATATGTGCCAATATACAGTAACCCCTTCACATTCATGAGGGTTGGGGGCAAAAGCTCCCTGCAAATGTAGAAAATGCACTAATAATACTTGGGCACCCCTAACCTCAACCCGTAACTCTACCCGTCTGCTACCCTGAACTATAACAAAAAGTCTATTTATTACTAATTTCTAAATAAGCAGCACTGTACTGTAAACCATGCATGTCAAATTGCTTTGTCATTTCCTATCTAGATATTTTATATAATATAGAGAGAATCTAAATCAGGCCCTTGTACGTACAAAGTTTTATAAGTTATAAGACAAGGTTGGGTGAGTTTGGTGTGGAAGAACTTGACTGGCTCACACCTAGCCCTGACCTCAACCCTATCAAACACCTTTGGGATGAACTAGAACGGAGTTTCTGAGACAGGCCTTCATGTCCAACAGCTGTGTAATACAGGTCAGCTGTATTGTTCTTAAATGAGTCGGCTTTTATTAAACTAGAAATGCCCAAGTAGGCCCGGCCCGGCCCAGCCCGGCCCAGAGCGTACCTTTGAAGAAAAACGCCTCTCCCCGAATGTGGGCCACAGCATCAAAGGCGGTGCTACATCTGTCCGGGGTGTCTCCTGAAGGACTGGGCAGGGGAACAGCAGAGAGTGAAGCATGGGAAAGCAGAAGTGTAGTGAACATGCATGGTGAGCAAAGGGCAGGGACACATGTCGGGGAAGTCAGGGTCAAGCGATGGGGTCCGATTCACGCCGGTTCATCAAAGGACCTAGCATGAGGTGCTCTACTCACAGAATGATGGACCTGTTTTCAGGGAGGTCCAGCAGAATCGGTGATTCTGCAGAATAGGAGTCATCAGGTTGGATGGTGTGCGACACGGAGTCCCGAACCCCTGGAGGATAGAGGATGGTGCATTACACACGGAGAAGACTCGTAAAATAGTGAAGTTTATACCAGCAATGCAGAGAATATCAGAATTAAAACCAGGGGATCCAGAAAATGCCCCTCCCCTCTCACTGCTTTGGCATTGATGCAATGAAGCCCCCTTTTATAAAGGCGAAACCAGTAGAGTCTCGTCTGTGGGCTGAGAAGCTTCCGTTTGCGAAAGTGATGAGTTATAAATAACAGCTAAACTGCCCCTCCCCCAATCAACTAGTGAACTAAATGTACGATGAAATGATGCTTTTTCCCCATTTGGTTGTTTTATCAAATAAATATAAATGAATGAGAACATGACAGTATGAACTTGTCAGGGTCGGTGCCTTCTGGCCCCTCCCTTTGTGACCTTTCCCTATTTGGCCAGCAGGCATTGCTGGTCATTTTGCCTGTGCCCCCTCTTTGTTCTTCAACCCTTGTGTGTTTCCCTTGCTCCCTAGTTTGCCATGTAGCTCATTGGGCTGAGCATGTGGCAAAGAGTATAACTGTCTTAGTCATGGATTTGAAGCTGGTGTCTGATCAGTCTCATCTGTTTATTTGTAATTAATGGGCGTCTGTTCCCCTGTGTTTTTCTGTCTGTCTCCCTTTGAATGACTGCAAGTGGATTGTCACCTTTTACCCGCCAGTGCCATACCATACTGTGACAACACAGGGCAGATGATATGGATATAAAAACACAATACATTATGTTACGTGAGACAAATGGCACAAATAACACACAAACAAAAAAAGAAAATTCGGACAAGAAAAGGAAGGGAAGAAAATGAGGTCTGCTTTCGAAAGAGAATATTGATGCAATGGTTTTATTTTCCTCATCTCCGTATTGCACGGACTCTAATTTTAGTCTAGTATTTCTCTACATAGACGGTGATTCCCATGTTTTATAAAATTTGTGAGTATTAGACATCGTGCGTCTATTTTTTTTTTCCAATTTTATGAAAGAAAGAATGCATTTCATCAGGGAACCAAGTGAGGGGGCAGGGGGAGATTTCCACCTGAGAAGAATAAAACGCCTTGCCAATAATGTGATAAATGCTACAAAATCAGCTTTATATGAAGAGAGTACCACAGAAATTTGTCCCTAAAAAGAGTCTGACATTGGTAATATGGAACTTGTTTGGATTTGCGAAATCCTACTCAGCACAAGCAACAGCTATTTTAATAAAGGGGAATTGGTTTGGTTGTACTGCTCAGTAATTTACAAAATAGCCTTAAAAACTAAAATGAAAAAGAATCGTGATCCTGCCTGAAAAAAATTGTGGTGATATTTTTGCCATATCGACCAGCCTCTTTTCCATCCTTTTTCACCTCCACTACTGCATTTATTCACTTCTATCTGCTTCTCCACCACTCAAGGTCTCACCATTCCCTTCCTATATCTCTCCCTCTTTCACTTTTTGGAATTTCATATTTTCCCCCTTTCCCCCACAAAGATAAACTTCTTCGCCCAGAATTGCTTCCTTTTGTTTTCTACTCTCCTGCTTTTCAGGTGCTTTCCATGCCTCCTTTGCTACCACTGGGGGCTAAAACACTTTCAGAAGGACCTCTTCATGTTTAGATGTATCTCATCCAATGTCTAGTTTGTTCGGAAGTAGTGTATGTGCTTACAGCACATTTTATCCCTTCAGAATTATGACATTCTGGTTGTCATAGTAACAATCTATTTAAACATTATATTTTAAAAGCTCTCCTTTCCCTTCTTCTGTGGTGTCATTAGGTGTTAAAGAGCATTTGTTTGCACAGCAGCAGCTGCAATCAAAAAAGTAACAATACCAGGGCTGGTTAGGGGTTAAGATTGTCATGGTTGGGATTAGGGTTTGCCCATAGAAATTAATAGAGAGTCCCCGCAAAGATGTGGATAAAAACGTGTGTGTGTGTGAGAGAGAGAGAGTGTGAGAGAGTAAATGTTCCCTGCAGTGGATTGATATCCCATCCAGGGAATATTCCTGACTGCCTGTTTGAATAGGCTGAAGGTAGACAGGCTACATCCCAGACCAGGATGAACTGGGAACAGTAGTTGTAGTAACTAAAGGCAATGAAGCGGGTTCAGACCACAAGACTCAGGGAAGGATGATGGCTTGTTAGGTGAAGTTCATTGTAAATTATTGCTGATAATTTTCACACAAAACACTTGACCTCAGATTCTGGATGTTCAGCTAAGTGTTTCCAAATGTAAGCTCAACCTGCAACCATTTGGGGAGAAGAACGCTCAGGCACAGCAAAGCTCACCATAGAGCTGCCAGACGCGGACCTTGTCTTCATACGGAAGGTCGTATTTGAGTGGGTCGCCCACAGGGCCCTGGTAGTACGGTCGCATAATGGACTCCATGGCGGATGTGTGTGCCAGCCCGATGGCATGACCAAACTCATGGACCGCAACCGCAAACAGGTCCATGCCGTGCGAGTCTACAGGAGAAAGAGACAGATGGAACCAGGGTTATCATCTCATGAACACACAACCAATCTGACACCAGCCAGCCTCTGTTTCTGCAGCAGCCAAAGGAAGGTAATTAATGAACTCCGTCTCCAGCCTGTCAGGCAGAAGACGCATCTCACTATCCCAAGGTAGCCCACAAGGGGGCACTGCTGGCAGCGCATATGTGTTCGGTAGAGTGGGGGTGGATTCCAGAGAGATGTGAATCTTAGCTCTTGATCGGAGGACACAGCAGAATCAAAAACACATTCTAGAAATGATGACACTCACAATACCTGCTTTTTATTAATTAATTTCAATTCAATTTTATATGTATAGTACATTTTCACAACATCACCTTGTCTCAATGCTTTACATTATCCCTGCCCAAAGCAGAAGTCTTCAACCAAAGAGACATGATGGGTCAGCCAGTTCCTGGAACACCTGGGGTTAAGGACCTTGCTCAGGAGCCCAATGCTGAAATCAACATTGTCAACCCAGGGATTTGAACCAACAACCTTTGGTCATAATATCCTAACCTGCTGAGCCACAAACCACTCTACTCAAAGAGTGGCAGTACGGTATCTGTGGATGGTCAGGTCTTGGGTGCATGTCTGTGAATGATTGGCAGATATCTGTGGGCACATTCATCTATGGCTGATTTGCTGGAACCGACAGGTGTGTCTAGATGATGGACAGGTGCTTGTAGGTGGACTGTGGGTGGGAGCCACTGAAAATTCCCAGCAGTTTAGCTTGTTAACTTCAGTGAAACAAAAGCCTTCAATGAGTAACTGCTATGAATCTCTGCAATATGTAGTATCCCAGACACCCAGCAAACCCCGAGGCAGCAGAGAAGCCTCCCACCTGGGGACCGAAAGGTCCAGGACTCGTCGTCATCAAAGTGGGTGTCACCCGCAGAGAAGCGCTCCCCAGGGAAGAAGGCATGTGCTACGGTGCCACCAGGTCCGTCGAAAGGGTAGCCGTCATTGTGGTCGGCCTTGGTGAAATCGATCTGGATATCGGCGCGGCTGCTCGCGACCTCGTGGAAGTCTAGTGGCGCGATGTCACTCCAAGCCTTCAGCGCATAGTACATGAGAGCACGGATGGTGTCCCGGCCCAGCAGGTGCGACTCCTTGGGAAATGTTCGGACTCTGCGGTGGGGGGTGGGGGGGGGGTTAACACCGTGATGAGCATTATAGGTTCAGCATCACAATCGACCACTATGGGCAGGAGCCAATCACATGACTGGTTTGTTTAAGTGGGCGGGGCTTTACCAGCTCCGCCTTTTTCACTTTGCTGGGATTTATCATAACAGTGCTTGAGGATTGCAAAGAAGGTCTGTTAAAGACTGCAGGAGAAAGATGAAAGTATTACGACTGAAGCTAAACGAAAGCACGTGCACAGAAAGGAACAAAACAATTCGTAAATCTTCTGTTATTCCTCTGTTGTGTTATTGTGAGTATGAAACTGCTGCCCCAAATTTCTCACTAAAAATTACTGTTGTAATTACACAAATTTTAGTAACATTTATTAGGAGTGTAAGTATGACGAAGAACAGGCTTCAGATAATTAGCCACTGATGGAAACATTGGTAACAAAATAAAAGGTGACATTAAAAAATGCGGATGGTCATAACCATCAAAGCTGATGCACTCCTCCCCCCGGTTGCAAAGACCCCGAACGTGTGCTTGCGGAACCCAATCATGCATTTGCAGACCCCGACTGTATGCTTGTGGGCACGTTGAGACCTGAGTTTACCTCCAGGACAGATGCCTCTTGTTCCACTTGCTCTGGGGTGGCAGGGCCCGGCGGCCTCGGTTTGAGGACTCCTCCGGTACCAGCAGGTCCGGCAGTGAGCAGCGGGGGGTCTTCATCAGAACCAGAGTGGCTTGATCTGAAGGACACGGACACACACATACACACACAGTTCACATGTAACTCCAAATTGCTCTTGTAGTGTAATGTGCAAACAAATACGCATTATTTACACACACACAAACATACCCAGCACCCCTGTCTCCTCCAGGCCTCCAAACTTCTGCATGGCTTTGATGGCCTTGGTCAGAGCCTCTTTGGTCTGTAGTTGGCCAGTTACTGGATCTGGGGGTGGGAGGTACCCAAACTTGCTCAGCCAATCCTGTGCAGAGAAAATGTCATACAGACCTGATTATTCAGACATCAAATAACAGCACGAAACCATGAAAAGGGGCGGCACCTCTGGGGCCAGGGTTCAAGTCTTCACCCCGGTTCTACGTTTGCGGAGTTTGCATGTTCTCAATGTGTTGTCGTAGGGTTTCCTGCAGTTTTCCTGGTTCCTCTCAACAGTCCAAAAACATGCTAAGGTCAATTCAAGTTGCCAAACTGACCTTATGTGTGAGTGATATGTGAATGGAGCATGTCTGTGCCCTGTGATGGGTCGGCACCCCATTTTGGGTTATTCCCTGCTTTATGCCTATAGCTTCTGGGATAGGTTTCAGACCCCTGTTATCTTGTATAGGACAAGTGGTAGTAAAGATGAATGCAGAAAACCAGGAAAACTCTGTATCAGCTTCTCCAGGATTCCTGAACCACCGGTGAAAGTAGGGAAAATGCTAAGTGACGTTCGATAGAGTCTGATTGAGAGGTCGACCCTCATTCCTACTGCCTTTGATGGAACACATCAGTGACCACCTCACCTTGTTCCACCTTCGAGCCTTACCTGAAGTTCTGCCTTTTACTGACAACAATGTAATATCCGTGATCTCAAAAGCAGACAGTCCTACAACTGACTGCTAAATGATTTGTGATCTACGGCCGAAGGGAGCTGGGCCCAGTGCACATAGATACGGTGAAGGAAAATGGAAAAAGCTGGAGTGGAAATGGGGGTTGTGCATATGAGACAAGGGGTCTGTCATGCTGGGGTTACAGAGGTCAAGTGTCCTCGGCCAGATCCCGTGGGCACTTCCTTTTTGTCAGGGTAGCCTGACACTCCAGTGACCTAACAGTCCACATGAAAGGACTAATTGTGTCAACCAGTCTGCCAGTCCAGTGACGACACCCCTCAAGCCCAAGTGGTTGTGGTGAGAGTCACAGGCAATCTTAACAGAATCAGGGCATCTTCGGGTTCTTGCTGAAGAGTATCACAAGGAATACAAGACATGGCAGAATTTAACAGGGCAAAAAACAGGTGCAGACTATGGCCAATCAGCACAGGTGTAGACGAAACTAAACTGAATGCACAGAGCTAGTGATGGCCGAATGTCAAGAGCTGTCTGTTAAAAAAAAGGGCTCAAAGCAGGCCAAGAGCACCATCTAGTGTGGTCAAAACATACAGCAAATGGTTCATGAGGCTTCATTTGGCTACACAGAGTCTTTGGTGCCTTCTTGTGGTCATTTGAAGTAGTAGTCAGATTTCTCACAGGACCAGATTTGGAGTCAGGGGAAGTCAGGAGCCCAGTCAGAAGGTTGTTGGGCTGTATGAACACAAGCAGACTCATCTCAGCACCCCCTCCCCACATGCCTAGTCCTTGTTAGCCCTGGCAGTTGTGAAGTGATTATTTCTTTAAAATCTTTCAGTCACATCAAAGTGCTCATGAGAATCTGTCTAACTGGAAACAGCAGAACATGACAGAATCAGCCTCTTTGTATTCAGCAAATTCTTTCTGGAGCTCAGGATAAAGTGATTGAGGGATATAGGGGCTTGTGTACTTGTATTAACCAAGGAACTCAGCAGTGGCCCTGCGGAACGACCACACTGATCACCAAAGTAGGCGGTAAACTTGGTGAATGACATCACTGACTGCACTGGAAGGTTACTTTTGTAGACACTGTGATATGAATGACTGCCACTGCTAATGGGTGACCATAGACCCATAGACATTGTGTGTGTATGCGTGCGTGTGTGGGCAGAGGGCATGAATACATTACATTGTGGGAATTAAATGTCCCTGCACTGTGATAAAAACATGATATTTTGACGTTTTTTGGTCAGATTTGATAAAAATCTGTGACTACAGTCAAAAAACTAAAAATGCCAAAAATCTTGTGTTTTGTTTGGTTACTTATTGTTAAGCTTAGGGCTGGGTGGGGGGTAAGGTTATCGTAGCTGGGATTAGGGTTACGCCCATAGAAATTAATGGAGAATGGAAAATCCCCACAGATACCTAATCTGTGTGTGTGTGTGTGTTTCTTTGCATGACTGGCAGAGTATTAGGAAAGGAAAGAGTTTAATCTCAAGCACTCTTCAACAGGCTTTACATGGAAGCACCTATCTATCAATCATGTGTGACCTCAGAATCGTGCACCAACGGTGGGGAGTATGATCCCCGACTCGGGCCGTTATTCCACATCAAGGAGCCAGGCTCACTGCCAGTAGGCTGCCACGGCATCCATCCGAGGGCCTCATTTCCATCTGCAGCTTGGAGACATCCGGAAGCGAGTGATGCGAATGAGCAACGAGCGTTAGCATGCGGCTTTGCCCGGGCCCCCCAGTTGAGAGTGCCTGTAGTGATTCTGGAGGTGTTTTCCTTTTTTGGTGCATAGGCCAGCTCCTGCCCGCCTGGCTCCCACCCTGAGTTATTTCAGAATAAAATATGCCTTCACCGTAAAGCCAAGCCAACGGTAATTACAAGTGGCTGTTTATCCTGGGAGGGGCATGGGGGGCACCCTTGATCTGGGTTGTGGAGGAATTATTTTGCTAAAATAATATGGGAACGACCACATGGCATTGATTTGAGGTTTTCTGTACAGAGGAACACCCTCAGACTGTCACGGAAAGAGGCCCGTCTGCTGCGTGTGACATAATCGCCTTCCAATCAAATATCAGCTTCTACTTTGATGCATTCCGTTAACCATTCAATCCACCCTCTGCAAGTCAACTTACATGTACTGACCAATCTAACCAGGTCATTAAACCCCAGAATATGCAACCAACAACCACTGCACTCTGCAGGTTTGTTAGAGTCATTTCTACGCAAAGGCCTTGCATAAAATTTCAGTTAGTTGTGTTTATAGATTACATAATAAGGTTATCTAGCCTGCCTAACATTCAAAAAGTAAATGTAATACAGTGGTACCTCGGTTCTCGAACTCACTAGAACTCGAATTTCTTGAAAGTCGAACAAACCAGTTTGACCTAGAACTCGATCTGAATATCAGAAGTGGAACAGTGAACGCTGACCTAATATAAATTGTACGCGCCAGGAAATGAGTCATACTACAATGCAATTATTACTTGAATGCCTTCTTCACAGACTGGACGATTAACCAAATAAAGCAGCACAACATTACAGTAACTAACAATAAATAAACCACTAACTTACATGTACTATTAGAGCATTTATGTAATTTATTTAAACTTTATTTTACCAGGTAAATTAACTGAAAACCAGTTCTCACTGCTTTACGTGTTATTCGGAAGAAATAGATTACGCACCGGAACTTCCTGGGATACAAACATCATGCGTGCTCTTCAGCCAATAAGGGCAATGGTGTCATTGGTGTGTCGTCACGGAGGCGGTTCCAGTTTGTGCAGCCGGGTGACAGGTCGCAATGAATCTAACCGTAATGCATTGCGTCAGGAACAGAATGCGTTGCTTTAAGCCAGCGCTGTAAACAAGTCGAACGCACCCAATGACCGGACTGGGCTAACAAACCGAAATGCGGACTTAATAGAGGACTAATGACAACAAACAGAAACAGCTGATCATGAGGGGGCGTGGCACACGGAAGGAGCGGACGATCGGGGCAGGACAGGGGTAATGTTGGGATAAGATCTTTATCGTTTTGGAAGCCATTAAGAAAAAAATGCTCTTCTTGTTTTATCCTGTTCATTTTGTGTTTAGATGCTAAGAAAATAAAAAAAACATATTTAGGTGTAATTTTGGGGGGCCGGGAACTAATTAATTGGTTTCCCATTATTTCTTATGGGAAAAATTCGATCAGAACTCAAACTTTTTAGGATTCGATCCATAGTCCGGAACGGATTAAGTTCGAGAACCGAGGTACCACTGTATATACAAATACAATTTCATTTCTTAGGAGTATCCAAAATTAATACAGTAACTATTTCATATTTTATCCAATTACAAACATTTTAATAAAGTTTCTTGGATTACACGTCTTGCAGGCCAATAGAAAAGCAGGGATATAAACTTTGATCCAAGTAACAATCTGCCAGTCGCTAATATGCCAACATAATGTGCTTGTCTAACAGAGTAACAGAGATAGCTCAGTACTGTACTCCACCTCATCCCTTCATAACAGAGTAATAGATGGCTCAGTACTGTGCACCACTTCATCTCTTCCTGACAGAATAACAGAGATAGCTCAGTACTGTACTCCATCTCATCCCTTGCTGTCAGTGTAACAGAGATGGTTCAGTACTGTACTCCACCTCATCCCTTACTGACAGAGTAACAGAGATGGCTCAGTACTGTACTCCACCTCATCCCTTCATGACAGATTAACAGAGACGCCTCACTACTGTACTCCACCTCATCCCTTCCTGACAGAGTATCAGAGTGCTCAGTACTGTACACCATCTCATCCCTTCCTGACAGAGTAACAAAGATGCCTCACTACTGTACTCCACCTCATCCCTTCCTGACAGAGTAACAGAGATGACTCAGTACTGTACGCCATCTCATCCCTTACTGACAGAGTATCAGAGATGGCTCAGAATCATACTCAATCACATCTCTTTCACAGAGATGGCTCAGTACTGTACTCTGTCACATCCCTGCCTTACAGGGTAATAGAGATGTCTCGGTACCATAATGTGTTACAAGTTACTGTCGTTTTCTTTCCACTTCCAATTTTATTTCAGTGTCCTAATTCTGAGCTCCATGGAAGTGGGCAGTGCCATCTGAGATGACATTCATCTACTCGCTTCCTCCTGAATCTAGGACAGCATTTAACTGCGCTGTAAGAGACTGGATCACCAAATAAAAAGCCCCAGGTCTTCATTGTTTGCTGGCATACACCATTAAATTACACAACGCCAATTTTCCACTCTCGCACGCAACACCTCTCTTCATCACATAACTCAAATTTGACAGGTCTATCTATTTGTGTCAGAAAAGAGTATTGCCTTTCACTTCAGCCACTTCTGAGGCAGCAGCGCCGTCTTTCTTGGCTTTCCCGGCTTCCTTCTCAGTTTGATCTCTTCTTTCACGATCCCTCTAATTTAAAACCGCCTTCTGTTGGCTCAATATCCAATTTTTCCAGTGACGGCGATGCTGAACAGACTAAATGTCTACGTCTTTTTGTGAATGAATTTTGTGGAGCCTACGTACAATAAATGAAAAGTCAGCCAAAGCGGGGCTTTAAGCTATATCAGTTGGAACGGAAAGGCAAAGAGAAAGATGTGTGCATGATTATTCGGAAATGAAAGCGACGTACACTAAGAGGGGAAGGGGGATACACACTGAAGCTATTGCCAGATGGAGCTCCCGCTAATGAAATCAGTAGGAAATTAGATTCAAGCCTTAGGAGAGAAACAAGCGAGCGACACTCTAATTGTCATTAAGATCACGGCAAGTTCCGAAAAGGACAAAGAAGGTGTCACTCGTCTAGCCTATAATAGTTCATTTTTAAGACATAAATGCGATTGCGTTTTAACCCGAGGCATTTTTATCACACGATTTATTCTTGCCCATTTTGTGAACTTCTGTTCTGTTATGTCACCTTAAGAAAGTACAGCGAAGTATTTAATATTGTGAAGCAACCAGAAGCATTTAATACAATCTGGTCACTCGGAAAATCAAGAACCGCCTTTATAATGCGTGCAGTTGTACGACAGCATGACGGAGATTAGGAAGTGTTGTCTGAATAAAGACACTCTCACCTAAAATAGCGGTTTCTTTCACGAAATATAGTATGACTTCAAACAGAATGCAGTCTCTCAGCAAAAAAGAAAAAAAAAACCGGTCACAAGACTCTTGAAACTGGGCCAATAAACTGCAAATATCTAGCCTAGTCGTATTTTAAAATGAGGAGTGCAGCTGCGCAATGGTCTTGTTCTAGAGTCTAGACTAGAGGACATTACTGACAGGCAGCGCTTTAACAATCTTCGGCTGGCCGGCGTTTTATTTATTTTTCTATCAAAATAACCAAATGCAAGACGGCACATGTGTTACCAATCTAACAAAGACACGGTGCTGCAGATGTTTCTGAGGTCTTCTTAAATTTGAAATTTAATTTGAAATACCATAAGGTCTTTATAGTTGTGCGTAACTCTGAACTTCACAAACTTCAAGAATCAGATTTCGCTATGAAACTATGGACAGAGCACCCAGGGAGTATAGTAAGTAGTAAACTCATTGAATTCATTCACCCAAACCAGCCAACGATAGACACTTGACCATCTCCTGTCCTGCTCAGCTCCTGTGAGATCACCAAAACCAGCTTTATCAAAAGAAAGAACCTTCCAACAGGAGATGCGCACCCAAACCCAAGACCGAAAACAGCACATACGCCTTTCAAACGATTCATCCCGATGTGATTTTTTTCACCTCGGTCAGACGGAACGCGGTCTGGAGGTCCTCCAGCCTCGGGCTGCATCAAGCCAAAGCGAGTACGGCCAAAACCGAGCTCAAACTGCACCACTTCAGGGAGCCCTACTTTCACGGCTGCTCAGAGTACTCTTGCTTTCTTAAAAGAATCCAAACTTACACAAATTCTTATAAATCAACAGTAAAACTATCGGTTTTTTATATAAAAAGGCAAACATACCAAATCTCCATGTCAGTGTGAATTCAAGACAAATTGTACGGTTACAAATTTATCTGCCCACCCCCAACTTCATCAAATGACACTTAGCAACACGAGTAGGCTATAAATATCATAAATATATCCTATGTCTGTGCGGCTCACAAGAGAGAAAGGTGGGATGCACCAAAACAAGCAAAAAAATAAACATAGGATTTGCATTTCATATGTATACAAATAGGCTACTTGCACAAGTGGCGAAATAAAGTGTCATTATTAAACGGCCTAAATCACAATATAGAAAAGTCACCGTTTGTTACTCAAGACAGTGTGGTTGCGATAATTACAATTGTTTAATGATTACCTATCTGGGGCTAAAAGCAAGTAGCGTAGTTAGTCTTACATTTAAAGACCGGTATGAAGGCATGTTTATTAAGTGTAACTTGATTGTGGATGTACTAATTGCACGCAAGTACAAATCTGATAACTTATGGCAGCAGTTACCGGTGGAGACGGAAAAGCAGGGTTAGGGACCCCAGGACATCGGCTTGGAGTTACTCACCACCCCCGTGTCCATCTGGCTGGCCGTGAGAGACGGCGCTGCCCGGGTCTCCGTTAAAAGCCAAAGGACTGGAAGCAGGATCATGGCTGGGCTGAAACTCCCCAGCCTCCGATCATTTAGTGAAACCATCCCTTCGGCTTCTCCAAAAGCAGCCGCTTCCCAGGATCCTTCATCCGGCGCGATCAGAAGTACACCGTTATTACAGCCTAACTTCTAAATGACTACCCGAGAACATTTAGGGGAGACCTTGTGAACATGCTACGAGATATCTGGCTACACAGCCTAACTCTATGTCGATGGAGGAGAGATAAACGCTTCAGTCTCAGATCCACGCTGCTTTTAAATGATGAATATGCATAATGTAAAATCCTTCGCAATAATAGTAGAAGTAGTAGTTTGCAGTAGTTTAATAAAAGAAAAAGATTTCACAAAGCCCTTTACGGAAGAAAGACGCCCGTGTGGAATAAGATGCACCGGTACAGGTGCATCCGTCAGCGGCGCTCCTGCCGCTCATTGACGCCGAGTTCCGAGCAGCCGACAGCGCAGGGAGAGGAAGCATCGCTGAAAGTGTCCCGTTATACTGAATACTGAGCCCAGCCCCATATGAAATGACTGACGCCACCTTCAACTGCTACTGCATATTTATTTACACGATTTTGCCAACCCCCTACTGGTTCACATGGTGCGCCAGAGAAGACTTGGCTGTGTAGTAACGCCCGCCTCCCGCTAAGCTCATATAAGGTCATATAAAACGCTTTTTTGCAGCTGTTCTGCCATAGCAACGGCTGTTTTACACCGGTTTGGCCATCGATGCAGGCTCACCCTGCAAGACGGTAACAGTGAGCGCAAATCCAGGTAACTTTATGAGTGTGGCGCCACATAATGGATATGTGAGCTGCAGAAACGCAGTTTTATGTTTTACTGCACACAGAAAACACTTCTCTAACATCGTGGCTAAAAAGAAGTTACAGCCTGCGCGAGCAGTAAATTGGACCCAAACCTGTCCCCATCCATAAAGCTCTGTTTTTACATTTTTATATGGAAATTCGGACTTATTTGCTAAGGAAAAGGGCATTTTGATACGACTGTTTTGACTTCGTATAGGTATATTAAAATAAATAACACAACTGCAGTGATTAACAATTACTATGTCTAAAACGTCCAGTACGTGTCTGGAAAACACGTAGGCCCTACTGCCAAGAGTGGTAATACGGCAGTTTCTCCCGGGATTTAAACTCCATGTAGCCTAGTTATTAACAAAATGCAGATGTAAAAAGGCGTTAAATCGTTCATGCATAAATACAGAGGAGACATAAAAGGGGTGCCGAATAACTAACCTGGTCGCCGTAAAATCCGAGATTACGGTTGGTTAAATGATCACTTTAACGGAAAGGATCATTTTGGGGATCTGGATAGGTGGGTGTCTCACTATAATGCAGTACAAAGCATCCACAAAACTTATACCGACCATTATAATACATTATAAAGGTATCTATAGTGCAATAAGTATTATGAATGTACTTATAAATGACTAAAAACATGACCTTAAGTAAAGTGTTACCAGTGGTTTTTTTTTTTT